TTTGACAAAATTCAATAGCATGCATTTATATTCAAAGTCCTAGAGGGAATTGGACTGTGGAAACACTCCCTTTTGCAATAGCTGCAAAAAAAAAATCTCAGAATAAACCTGACCAAAGACATTAAAGAGCTCTACAATGAAAAATTTAAATCTTTAAAGAAAAAAATTGAGGAAGACATCAGAAGATGGAAGGAACGCCCATGCTCATGGATTGGAAGGATTAATATTGTGAAAATGACCATCCTACCAAAAGTCATTTATAGATTCAACACAATTCCAATCAAAATCCCCATGACATTTTTCACAGAATTGGAAAAAAAAAAACTATCCTGAGTCACATGGAGGCACAAAACACCTTGGATAGCCAAAACAACCCTGAGTACTAAGAGCAGTGCTGCGGGGATTACTATACTAGATTTCAAGCTGTATTACAGAGCTATAGTCATAAAAACAACATGGTACTGGCACAAAATAGACCCATAGACCAATGGAACAAAATTGAAGACCCAAATATGAGTAAATGCAATTTCAGCCACCTGGTATTTGACAAAGGGGCCAAGAACATTAACTGGAGGAAAGACAGCATGTTCAGCAAATGGTGCAGGCAAAACTGGATCTCCACTTGTAGAAGAATGAAACTAAACCCTTATCTTTCATCCTACACAAAAGTTAATTCCAAATGGCTCATAGACCTTGATGTAAAGCCTGAAACTCTGAAACTATTAGAAGAAAACGTTGGGAAAAACCTACAAGATATAGGTGTAGGAAAGGATTTTCTAAACCGGACATCAATTGCTCAGGAAACAAGGGCAAGAATTAACAAATGGGACCTCATTAAACTAAAAAGCTTCTATACATCAAAGGAGACAACCAAGGAAGCAAACAGAAAACCCACAGAATGGGAGAAAATCTTCACCAGCGATACATCCAACAGAAGTTTGATATCCAGAATTTATAACAAACTCGAAAAACAGAACCAAGACAAGAAGCCACCCAATTAAGAGATGGGCTAAGGAGCTGAATAGAGAGTTCTCAAATGATGAAGTTAAGATGGCTATGAAACATCTTCAAAGATGTTCAACATCACTAATAATTATGGAAATGCAAATTAAGACCACTTTAAGATTTCACCTTACTCCAGTCAGACTGTCTAAGATTAAGAAAACAAATGATACCAAATGTTGGAGAGGATGTGGGGAAAGGGGAACACTCATCCACTGCAGGTGGAGCTGCAAACTGGTTCAACCCCTATGGAAAGCAGTGTGGAGAACTCTTAAAAAACTACAAATGAACCCACCATTTGACCCAGTTATATCACTCCTTGGCATATACCCAAAGAACTCATGCTATTGCAGAGACACTTGTACATCCATGTTTGTTGCTGCTCTTTTCACAATAGCTAAGAGATGGAAGCAACCTAGGTGTCCCTCAATTGATGAGTGGATAATGAAAATATGGTTCATTTATATGATGGAGTTTTACTCAGCAGTAAAGAAAGATGAAACCATGAAATTTGCAGGTATGTGTTTGGTACTAGAAACTGTTATACTGAGTGAAGTAACACAGACTCAGAAAAAAAATTGACATATGTTCTCCTTCTTATGTGGATCCTAGAACCAGACTCTGATAAGTATGAAACCAGACTAACTACAGGAACCAGGATAATGGAAAGGAAAACAGGGAGGTAAAGGAGAGGAAATAACCTGAAAGAGAAGACTAGTAGGAAACAGGCCTTAACAAGGGAGATATGGATAAGAATTAGGTTAGTTTAAGGGACAGGGGAGGGAAGGGTATACTAGGAACCTAGGGGATAAAGGGAAAGAAGGAGATCAGGAGAGGTACAACTATAAGAGAAGGGTATTAGTAAGGGAGAAAGGGGGGAAATGGGGGCACCTTAAGTGGGAAAACCATGATGGAGGGGTGAGACAATGCAAGAGATAAATAATGCCTAGCTAGTTTTGAAAACCAGAGAGAACCATATTTCTCCTACAACCTACTGAGAAATTATACATAGCAGATCAAGAAATATATGTCTAGGTAAGTTTTATCTGAGAACAACTGGCCTTTGCCAAAGATTTATCTACATGACACACTGTAATTAAAAATACCAGACTGGTGGAACTAACCTTCTTGGGTGTTTAACAGACATACTTTGAGGTCTACAATAATTTGGTCAGAGGGACATAAAGGACAGTTTTTGCTCCTTGCCCTCCTAGGTCGACTAGTTCCAGGGGACTATGAGCATCTCTCAAAATATCCTGTAATTGTGGTGGGTCACCTGTCCTCTTGATCAAGGAGGCCAAGAAGACCCCACCAGATGGACTTGAACCAATGTCCAGTCTGTAAAGAGGAGGGTCAACACAGAGGAATCATTTCCTCCATGCTTCCAAGCGAAGCCAACCATGGTTGAGCAGGACCTTTGACTTATCTTCACAGAGGTGGAACTGGTAAAAGAAAGGAGCCGGTGCTCCTCCCAAGCCCATTTGACCTCTGAGGAACAGATCCTCAAATGGCCTTAAGAGTAAAAATAAGTCGGTTTATCTCGACCAACTGTATGGCCTTAAACACCCAAAAGGAAAGTATAACCAAAGATTAAAGGGGCCAATATAATTTCATAAGAGTCCATATGCATAGCTAAAGTCTACATAACAAGCAACAATGCCAGACAGGCTATACCTTCTTTTGAGTTGTTGGCCAGGGTGACCAAAGAGATTCCCAGATAGTAACCCAGCATAGAACTTGGAAAATGAACAGCAGACCCCAATCTTATCTAAAGGAATATTGACAACTGATTACCGCTGTTGAAGAACAGCTGACACTCCTAAAACAAAGGCCTCTAGATAGGCTGACTAGATTCACCAGAAGGAGAAGTAGTGGGGAGTGGCTGGGGGTGCCAACACAGCAGACAGTAGCAGGTATATCAGCATATAAGGGCTCTAGTGGGGGGAGGGAGGCTATGGGGTGTGCTACCTGGGAAGTGGGTGTATAAATAAATAAATAAATTCTTCAAAGCATAAAATTTTGCTCCTTAATAATTAGTAGATGTGATAAAACATTACCATTGAAATCTACCTGATGACTTTATATCCATGCGGAGATGCCAAGGAGCTCAGAAAGAAACTGACTATGACTAGTAATAATCAGGTAATAATCAGATACATAGAGATTAGAAATGCATGTGCATCTTAGTGTCAATTGTATTAAAAATGAATTTTTTCTGTATGAAACTGCATATTTTAATAATGAAATGGAAATCTTTTTTAAAGTTTAAAACCTCATTTAGTTTTCTGTATTTTAGGGTTTATACAGAGTACAATATTTTATAACTGTATTAATTCAACTGTAAAAACCTAAAAATTTGCAACCAATTTTGAAAGAGATGCATCCTAGCTCTGGAAGTTGTTATTGAATATGTCAACGCCATTGTAATGAAATGCTTCTTCTAATTATATGGTTATTAAACAAATAATTTTTAAAAATTAGGAAAATAAACAGAGTAAAATTAACTCATTTTCATAGAACACTGCTTGCTACTTGTTTAGAGCTCATATGCCAAGTTGACTTCAGTTTTTTTCTTGTGCTTACAAATCATACCTCTGATATAGTCACCAGTTTCATAAATGTACTGATCATAGAGAATCTGAACCAAAGAATAAGGAAATAGATACACTTATTTGTCAGTAATTGAAAAACAATGTCAAAACACAAATCTGTTTTTGATGGTTCATGTGAGATTTTGTCTTATATATAAGATCAGTAGATATGCATAAAAGATATACAAAGAAAATTTATTGAGGTAGAAGGAACAGAAAAATCAAGAGCCTTAATTAGGAGAGAATTCCTAAAATAGAACAAAGAAAATGGTTGTTAGATATAAAATAGTTGGTGATGCTCATCCAAAAGTCATTCAGGAGAGGGGTCTTTTGTCTTGGGGACTTAATGTATGTTAATCCTCTCTTTAGAAGATTTAAAAAATTTATGTTTATATATGAGTGACTGTATATATGTATTTGCACCACATGCATGCCTAGTGCCCTTAGAGGCCAATAGAAGGCGTTGGAGCCCCTAGAACTGGAGTTATGGACGATAATGAGTTGCTGTGTGCTGGGAACTGAACTGAGGTCCTCTTCAAGAGCAGCAAGTACTCTTTAATTGCTGAGCCATCTCTCCAGCCCTTATGTTATCCTTTTGACAGGTGCATCACTGTTCTGAAATGAGATTTTGTAGCCATTCTGTATGTAATTTCATGTAATTAAAACAATCTTTTGAATTCAGTTGGTAGTTATTTATTTTTTTTTGGTCTTTTTGAGACAGGGTCTCCCTGTAGCCCCAGATGTCCTGGAACTCAGTATGTAGACCAAGCTGGCCTTGAACTCACAGAGATCTGCCAGCCTCTGCCTCCCAAGTGCTGGGATTAAAGGCATGTGCCACCTTGCCTAGCCGTGTATTTTTACGAAGACAGAATGTTTACTGGGGGAGGGGGTGCAAGTTAAGTCTTTTACCAATTTTAATGTCTCATTATGAACAATACAGGAAAACATGGTGGTATAAACCTTTAATCCCAGGGCTCAGGAGGCAGGTAGATGTCTGTGAGATTGAGGCCAACCTGGTCTACATAGCAAGTTCCAGGCCAGCAGGGGCTACAAGGCACTTTAGTTTGATCAGTAGTCACTGAGTTTGGCTGATATAAGTTCATGTCTAAGAGAATAATCATCAGCTTTGGAGACAGTTCCTTGTGAGGGCTTCTGGCATTTCTCCTGGGCATTGTCTCATTTCTTAAAATTTCAGAATATACTTTTGAAAAATTTGTATCAGTTTTTATAAATGAGTATTTTAAGAATTAAGTTACTTGTGTAATACTCTTAAACAGCTCTAAAACTAACAAATATTTCTTTGGTTTATTCCTAAGTACTTTTAGTGCAGACTTCATACAAAAGTAAAAAAAGAATCATAATATATTTTGAGTAATAACTCATTTTTATTTCTTATTTTTTCTTTAGTTCACAACAAAGTATATTAAAATCCCATTTCAAGGTAAGCCATCTTCTCTTATGACATCTCTTCACTGTAGTTTTGAATAAAGTAATTCATTAGCAAAAATTCTGAAATTCTTTACAAGTTGTCTGTATTTTCAGTACAGAAAATAAGCAAAGTGAAGGTAGATTAATAATGTGTTTCACCGTCACATGTTTTAGAAGTCCTGAACGATTTAAAATGTACTGAAAAAACATAGCATTTTAATGACTAAATCAAATAACAATAAAGTACTCGTGGTGATTTCTCAGGGTTAGTAGAATAATGTGTTGACAATATGAATATTTTTGGTGTACGTGTAAATGGACGAAGATAGGAACTATAAGGAAAGAAGCACACAAACCAATATAGTATGTTTTTGTACAAACACTTAGATTATTTATACCCTATCTTATCTGAGTAAAGCAGACTGGAAAATATACCTAGAACTTAAATGCAAACCATTGTTTTCATCCTTTCCCCAACAAAATCCTTCCAGAATAGTGACCAAAACTAATAGTCAGGGAATAATCTCTTTAGAGAGTGAAACTATAGAAAGAGCAGGGGAGAAAATGTATGTGGGAATAACACTTAGATGTGACTAGGTAACAGAAGTACTGTTGTAACACTGAAGAGCTGGTCTAAGTATCTTGGGCTCTTTAGCTCCTGCATTTTCAGATCAAAAACTGCTATGATAACCAATGTAATGATTAGATTACCACTTAAATAGTAAGAACATATAAGGCATAAATAATATATTAATAGTCCTTTTTAGAAAACACTGATACATTAAGAAATAGTGTGATATTAAGTATTTGAGACACTTGGCTTTAGAAGAAAACAGTAATTTCAGAAAGTGTAGTGTTATAATAAATAGCTAAAGATCTGAGTACCCAAGCACTTCTCCAGTTCCTGTGATATAAGTATCAAAAAAAATTTTAGATGTTCACAGTTAATATTTACATCTTTTCCAGTATTGCTTTTATATCTTTTCTAGCCCACTTTTTTTCTTTCAATCACGATTTATTTAGAAGTTTTCTTAATTTCTACATGGTTTTCTTTTAAAATTTTGTCAATAATTTAAAATATATATTTTTATTGATTCTTTGAGAATTTCATGCAGTGTATTCTGATTATATTCTGGTCCCTTCTCCCATCTCCATCCCGCCCTCCGACTTCATGTCCTATATTGGTTTTTGTTTGTTTGTTTTTTAAAGGGCTATCAAATCTGAGTTCACCCAAATACTCTCAAGGATCATGTGGAAGGGGAAGTAGAAGGTTTTAAGAACCAGTGGTGGTGGATGAATACAAGGAAATTGTGTTTTTGGACACAACAGGGCAGTTACACATTTGAACCCATAGCACTTGTGAAGCATGCACAAGCCCTGTGCAGACCCAAGCCACATAAAAACTTAGCGTTGATATGGGAGGTGGGCAAGAAGCTTCAGCTCTAACTGAGAAATATTGGCAATTGATAGATTCTGGGAGAGGGAAAGTTAGTTTTCTTTAAAGGTATAATGCTGTGTAGGTTGACCAGGCACCAGGAGATAGACTTATGGCCAAGAACATCCAACAGTTGCTTTTAGTTGAATTGATATTGTAAGGGCCTAACGATATCAAACTTCTGAAATTGGCTCAAACTGATTTGATGGGCAAGCATTTCATTTTTTACAGTGATTTAGTTGATGTCTGTCTGGTGACAGATCAAATATATTTAACTGGATCAAGCTTGTTAAATTTCAACAGATGATGTTTAAATCAAGGATTTAAATTTTCTAGAGTCCTGATTTAGGGTTGTGGGGTAAGTCTGCTTTCTTTATCAAATACCCAGGAAGATAATACTATAATCTCTTACTATAGTGGTAAAATTTCTCAATTTTCTCTCAAAGTCAATTTTTGCTTTATTTCATGGATAAGGTTGTTAGTTGCATATGAAATTAAATCTGTATTTTCCAGTGAAATGGGCCATTTACCAATCTCTGTTTTTATATCTAATAATTCTATTTGTGTTATAATTTATTTAAAATGATATAGTAGCTTTCTTCCCAATTTATTTTACTTTCAATATTCTTCTTCCTCTCCTCTTCTTTCTTTCCCTTTATCCCCTAGGTTCCTTGTATACCCTTCCCTCCTCCTCCTCCTCCTCCTCCTCCTTCTTCTGTCTTTTTGAGACAGGGTCTCCCTGTAGCCCCAGGTACTCTGGAACTCACTATGTAGACCAGGCTGCCCTTGAACTCACAGAGTATCTCCTGAGTGCTGGGAGTAAAGGTGTGCACCACCACACCCAGCTGTCATTTGTATTTTTTTTAGACAAGGTCTCACTGTGTGACCTTGACTGGCATGGAACTCACAGAGGCCTATCAGCTTCTGCCTCCCAAGTGCTGAGATTAACGGAGTGCACCATCAGGCTGGGCTCAACATCTTTAAAAAAATTATTATTTAAAAAATTTTATGTCTATGAGTGTATTGCTTGCTTGTATGTCAGTGCACCCATGTCGTGAGGTGCCTGTGGAGGTCAGAAGGCATTGGATTCCCCTGGAATTGGAATTATGGATGGTTTTTAACTGCCATGTGGGTTCTGGGAATCAAACGTGGGTCCTCTGCAAGAGCAGTAGTTACTCTTAACCACTGAGCTACTTTCTCCAGCCCCAACATTCTCTTTTATATTTTTGTTTGTAGTCTCTATCCTAAACTCTGTACAACTGAATATTTAAAAAAATAAGACACTTGGGTTGGGGAGATGGCTCAGTGGGTAAAAGTGCTTGCCTGTGCAAGTCTAATGACATGAGTTCAATCCCTAGAACCTGTGTAAAAGCTGTATGTGGTGGCACCCATCTGTAATCCCAGTGTTCCTCCCTCCCTCCCTCCCTCCCTCCCTCCCTCCCTCCCTCCATCCCTCTGTCTGTCCCTCCATCCCTCCTCTCTCTCTCTCTCTCTCTCTCTCTCTCTCTTTCTTTCTTTCTTTATTTCATCTTTCTTGCCTTTTTTGAGACAGGGTCTCCTTGTAGCCCCAGCTGGCCTAGAACTCACTATGTAGACCAGGCTGGCCTTGAAGTCATAGACATCTGCCTGTCTCTGCCTCCTGAGTACTGGGATTAAAGGCGTGTGCCACCACACCTGGCAAATCTTACAAGTTTTAGTTATTTATTTACTCATTTATTTATTTTTACTTTATATGTATGAATGTTATGCCTTCATATGTGTAAGTGCACCTGTGTCCCATGAAGGACAGAAGAAGGCATCGGATCCTCTGGAACTGGAGTTACAGATGGTTGTTAGCCATCATGTGGGTGCTGGGATTTGAACCCAGGTCTTCTGCAGGAACAGTCAGTGCTCTTAACCACTGAGCAATCTCTCCAGCTCCATCTTACTGGTTTTTTAAAGTGAAAGTTTTAATTATAAAGCATAGAAAAATACTTTTATCAATAGTAACAAGGTTATAACTTTATAATGGAAAGATATTAGTCTATTTTCTAAATGCTGTCTGTGCTATTTTTTTAATAGGAAAAAAATTCCCTTTTTGAAACAAGGCTTACAGGAACTGGGGAGATAGCTCAGTTGGTAAAGAACTTCCTTTGTAAGCATGAAGACTGAGTTCAGTCCTCAGAACCTAAGTTAGGAAAAAAAAAAAAGTCAGGTGAGGTGGTATGTGTTATCCCAGTGCTCAAGATAGGAAGACAGATAGATGTCTGAGACTCATTTGCCAGCCAGCCCAGCCTATTTGGCAAGCTCTAGGCCAGTAAAAGACTTTGTCCACCAACCAACCAACCAAGGTAGACAGTGCATGAGGAACCAGAGGTTGCTATCTGGCTTCTATGTATGTACATGCACAAACTTGTCCTTTTCCCCCACAAACATGTACACACAAAGGGTAAATATAAAAGGTTTTCATGGGTCTCAATATTTACTCTTTTTCCATGCAGCTGAATAAATGAGTTGATTTATTCGTACTTATATTTGCTACTAATTTTCTTGGCTTAAGTAAAATAAAAAAAATAAAGATAAAGAATTATTTTTGGTACAAATAGAAGAATTCCAGAGGTAGGCTGAACTGATAATGTATTTCCTTAGTTATCAGAGATCCATATTCTTTTATTTTTCTACTCTTTCATTCTTGATACATGATTTTTATTCTCAAGATTGTCCCATGGGGGGCTGGAGAGATGGCTCAGAGGTTAACCGTTCTTACTGCTCTTCCAAAGGACCTGAGTTCAATTTCTAGCACTGATGTTGGGAAGCTCACAACTGCCTGTAACTCCAGCTCCAGGGGATCTGACACTCCCTTCTGGCCTCTGTGGGTCCCACACATGACATACATTAATATACATACACACATACACATAAATAAAAATGAAAATAAATCTTTTAAAAAAGATTGTTTTATGGGCAACTTGGCTGCTTCTACTCCATACTCCACATCATGTTAATATTTCAGACGAAAAGCAAGAGGACTGGAAAAATGGTGTAAAATGGTGCATGCTGTCTCTCACTCACCCTTTTAAGGAGCCTTCTTGAATACATAGACCACTTAACCTTTTGTACTTAACATTTTGTATGACCACACACCGAAGAAGAATAATTTTTCAAAGCTGGGTATTTTCCTTCCCTAAATAAATAAGGCTTTGTTACTGAAGAAGAAATAATGGAAGGAGATGTGGGATTGTGAACTTCATAAGGAAGAAATGCTTAGCAGTATTTTGGACAGATCTTGAGCATGGTGGTACCCACCTCTGACCCCAGCACTCAGGAGACAGAACAGGCCCATCTCTGTGAGATTGAGGGTAGCCTGGACTATTTAGCAAGTTCTAGGTCCTTTCTTTTAAATTTGAGTGCCTTTGTTGTCAGTTTTTGGAATGGAAGAGTTAGGATATGTAGTATAAAATGTTGGCCGGAACAGAAAGGTGAATGGTTAAGTATTTGAATGCTCATTATAAAATCATTTTCAAATTTTAATGTTCATAATCACCTGATGAGGGGCTGCTAACCTGACATCTATGATGAGGGCTGATCCTCCACAGTTCTAATCAAGTTCTACCTGTTGCCAGGGTCCTGGGCTGAGGACTATGCTTGGAGCAGTAAGGTGAAGAGATACTAACAAGGAATACCATTTCAGATACGCACCTATATTGGTTCAATAGTTATTTTCCTGATTCAGCTGCTTGTTTTCTTAAAGTTGGACCGAATATCCTTTAGGGTTCCTTTTTTGTTGTTTAGTGTTTTTTTTTTTTTTTTTTTTTTTTTTTTTGAGGCAGAGTTTCCCTGTATCCACAGCTGGCCTGGAACTTGCTACATAGACCAGGCTGGCCTCAATCTCATAGAGATGGGGCTGCTCTGTCTCCTGAATGCTGAGGTCAGAGATGGGTGCCACCATGCTCAACTTTTTTAGGTTTTTTGTTTGTTTGTTTGTTTGTTTTGTTGTTTTGTTTTGTTTTTTAAAACTAGGTTTCTGTGGTCTTAAGTTAGAGTGATACTTAGAGGTTTTGAGAACTAAAAACTGGAAGAATAGTATCTTTAGACCATTCAGAACCTTGTCTCGTTCTAGAGACTTATGAGAGAAGCTGGAGAGATGGATCAGCTGTTAGGAGACTCTTAAGAGAGTGACTTGCCTTTATAGTGAAATGCAGGTATTTTAGGAAAGGAAATATGACAGAAATTGGTCTGTGATAACATTTGGAATATTGATTCCTAGTATTGACCAAGAGATTACAATTAAAAATATTTCATTTTAAGGTTATGCTGTGTTTCATTTTCTACAGTGATGGTCTCTGCCCCATCTTTTTATTTTTAAAAATATTTTATTAATTTTATTATTAATTAATTTTATTTCTGTGCATGAGTATATTGCCTGCATGTGCACCTGTGTTGTGCAGTGCCCACAGAGGTCAGAAGAAGGTATGGAATCCCCTGGAACTGTAGTTATGAACAGTTGTTAGCCACCATGTTGGTGCTAGGAATAGAACCTGGGTCCTCTGCAAGAGCATGTAGTGCTCTTAATTGCTGAGCCTTCTCTCCAGCCCCCCAACTGTTTTTCAAATTTTATTTTTATTTTTTATTTTTGCTGGTACCAAAGATCTTAGTGAGAAAGCTCTTCAAAAAAAAATTTTTTTTTGTCTTTTTCAGACAGGGTCTTCCTGTAGCCTCAGCTGGCCTGGAACTCACTATGTAGACCAGGCTGCCCCTGCCTCTGGAGTGCTAGGATTAAAGGTGTGAACCACCAGGCCCAGCTTCTTTGCAAATTTTTATGCTGTAGAAATTTAGCTTCAAAATTTCCTTCTGTGGATTAACCAAAATCATAAAATAAGAGACAAAATTTAGTTATCATTTAATAATTATTTTGCCCTTCTAATTTGCAGTCTATATTTACTCTAATAGTAGTATTTGGTATATTTAGGTTAAGTTTAGTTACAGGTATTGGAAATACATTTCTGAAATGTTCTGTACATAAATCTTTTAGAAAAATACATTGTATCAAAAAGTATCAGAGATGCTGAATTCCTAAGTTAATTACTTTTTACATTTTTTTTCTTTTATTTATTTCAGTGTCCCTGAATGAAATTTCGTTGTCAGTGGACACCATACATTTAAAGAGGTTTGGGTTATGGAAAAGTAAGGATGAGGATCACAGTGAAAGGAACCATGCTATCCTTTTCCTCTGGGTCTCTGCAAATTATCTTCAAGAGATTCAGACCCAATTAGAAAATCCTATGTTAAGCCAACAATGTGAGTATAAACATAATTTCTAAATTTTAGGATAACCTGAGAAGTCCCATAAGTAATTTTCTTCTAACATAATTTAGTAGGCTGTAATTATTTCATTGGGTTGAAATTAATCTCATTAAATTAAAAATGTTATCCCCTAATATTATATAAGATAAATTATTTTACTTATTCATACATATGATTTACCTGGTAATTTTATTCAGTTATGAAAAATTATCTCTAAAATTAAAAGGGTACCTTTAAATACATCTTAAGTGTTGTTTGCCTTGAAGATAAAAACATTTCTGTATTCTTAAAAATGCCTTTTAGTTAATATCTTTGGTTACCTCTCTTTTCTTGATTAGTTTTTTTTAGTATATAAACCATTGTTTTATTATGACATTTTCATATATAAAGTACTTTGCTCATATGTGTACCCTCTTTCCTATCCCTCCTTTCCCCCTCACAGGTCCCCTTCTTCCTCCAGATAGTCCCCCTCTGCTCTCATGTTATGTATGTATGATAAGTATGTAATTGGTGTACAGTAAAGTTACTGATTTTCATGTGTTGATTTTGTATGCTGCTCATTTGATGATAGTTTATCAAATCTAAGATTTTTTTTGGTGGACTATTTATGTCATCTGCTAATGAAGATAATTTATTTGACTTCTTCCTTTCCTATTGATATCACTTTTATTTCATTTCATTTCTTTCTCTTTTTTTTGTCTTTTTGAGACAGGGTCTCCCTGTGTCTCAGTTGGCCTGGAACTTGCTATGTAGACCAGGCTGTCCTTGAACGCACAGGGATCCTCCTGCCTCTGCCTCCCAAATGCTGGGACTAAAGGCATGCGCCACCACAACCGGTTATCACTTTTATTTCTTTCTCTTGCTCTTTTACTGTAGCTAAGAGCAAGCACTATACTGATTAAGAATGAAGAAAGTGGGCACCCTTGCCTCATTTCTGAGTTTAGAGGAATGCTCTAAGTTTTTCCCTCCATTTAGTGTAATTTGGCTATTTGTTTGTTGTATATAACCTTTATTATATTGTGATATGTTCCTTTTATTACTAATTTCTTCAGTGCTTTTTTGCGTGAAAGCATTGTGAAAGGATGTTGAAATTTTTGTCAAAAGCCTTTTCTGCTTCTGTTGAGATGATACTGTGATTTCTGTCATTAATTTTGTGTGCTTTTACTACAGTTATGAATTTATATATGTTGAACCATCCTTGCATTGATTGAGAAATTTTATGTCTGTTCATCAGGGAAATTGGTATATATAGTTTTCTTTTGTGTTGTGTCTTTATTCGGTTTTGGAATCTAGGTAATGCTACCTTTGCCCAATGAGTTCAGTAGTGTTCCTTCTCCCTTTCTTTTATGTGGAATTGTTTGAGGAACAGTGAAATTAGCTATTTTTAAAGATTTATTTTTATATTTATTTATTTACTATGCGTGTGTATGTGTTTGCCCACATATGTGTGAGAGAGAGTGTGTATGCCTCTTGTGTGCTCTTTGATGCCCCTTTGTGGAGGCCAGAAGAAAACGTCAGGTACTCTGGATCTGGAGTTACAGGCAGTTGTGAGCTGCCCTGCATGGTGCTGGCAACTGAACTTGAGTCCTCTGGAAGAGCCGAAAGTGCTTTTAACAACTGAGCCATCGCTCCAGCCCTGTTAGCTATTTTTTAATGATCTGGAAAAAAAGAGTAGTGAATCTGAATGGTCCTGAGCTTTTTTGGTTGGGGTACTCTTTCTTGCCGTTTCAACCTTGTTGCTTATGATAGGTCTGTTTAAGCTATTTATATTATATCTTATTGAATTAGCTTTGATAGGTTATATGTATCTAGGAATTTATCCATTTCCTCTAGATGTTCCAAGATTTTAGAATATGTTTTCAAAATATTCCCTGATGATTCTTCAGATTTCATTGATATCAGTTGTAATGTCCTCTGTTCATCTCTAATTTTGTTAATTAATGCCATCTTTTTGTTTTTATTAGTTTAAGGATTGTTGATCTTTCTTAATGTGTTTTAAAATGTGTGTGAGAGTGTGCATGTGTGTATGTGAGTATGCATGTACATGTACCACAGTGCTTGTGTGGAGGTCAGAGAACAACTTTTGAGAGTCAGTTCTGTTCTTCTACCATGTGAGTCCTGGGATAGAACTCAAGGCCACCAAGTTGGTGGCTAGAATCTTTCTTTACTCAATCCTTATTTTTTCAAAGAACCAACTCTTTGTTTCACTGATTCTTTGTATTATACTTTTACTTTCCATTTAATTCATTTCTGCCCTGCTTGTTATTTCTTTTCATCTACTGCCTTTAAGTTTGGCTTGTTCATGTTGTCCTAAGATCTTGAGGTGTGCCGGTAAATTTTTTGTTTTTGAGATCTCTCTGATTTTTTTTTTTGTTTTGAGATAGGGTCCCCTTGTACCCCTAGCTGGCCTGGAACTTGCTATATAGACCAGGCTGGCCTTGATCTCACAGAGATTCATCTATCTCTCCATCATGAATACTGGGATTAAAGGCGTGTGCTACCATGTTCAAGAATTTATTTATTTATTTGGTCTTTAAAAAATTTTTTTATTTATTATTTTTATTTTATGTGTATATGCATATTGCCTGCATGTAGGTAAGTGCACCTGTGACATGCAGTGCCCATGGAGATCAGAAGAGGATTCCCCTGGAACTGGAGTTATGGACAGTTGTTAGCTGCCATGTGGGTGCTAGGATTCAAACCCTGGTCTTCTGCAAGAACAACCAGTGTTCTTAACCGCTGAGCCATCTCTCCAGCCCCTTATTTGGTCTTTTTGAGACAGGGTATCCCTGTAGCCCTAGCTGGCCTCGGACTCACTAGGTAGACCAAGGCTAGCCTTGAACTCACAGAGATCCACCTGCCCCTGCCTCCCAAGTGCTGGGACTAAAGGTGCACCACTAAATTATTTATTTGAGATCTCTCTGATTTTGTTTGTTTTGAGATAGGGTCTCCTGCCCAAATGATTTTATTTATTTTTATTTTATGTGTATGAGTGTTTTACCTACATGTACATGCATCATGTGTTTGCAGTCCCCACAGAATCCAGTAGAGGGCATCGGATACCCAGAAACTGAATTTACAGATGGTTGTGAGCTACCATGTGGGTGCTGGGGTTCTCTGCAAGAGCAGCAAGAATTCTTAGCTGCTGAGCCATCTCTCCAGCTCTGATTTTTTTTAAATGTAGTAACTCACAACTGTAAACTCTCCTCTTAGAACTGTTTTTGCTATATTCTGATAGTTTTGATAAGTTGTGTTTTCATTTCATTTGATTCTAGGATTTATAAAATTTCCTCCTTGCCTGATTTCTTCAGTGACCCAGTCATTCAAGAGTGTTCAATCTTCAAGTATTTGTTTTGTTTCTTTAGTTTCTCTTATTATTGATTTCTAGTTTTATTCATCTTATTATCCAATTAGATATAAGAATTTATTTTAATTCTTTTTTATTTGTTAAGACTTATTTTATGACCTAAAATGTGATCTGTTTTAGAGAAAGTTCTGTTATCCTTTGTTAATTTTCTTATGAAGGTTTTCTTTTCTTTTTTGCCATTATTTCACTATCAATAATGACAGAATCAATTAGTAGCAAAATTAGATATACTATATGTATGTTTCTCATGTTTCTGATAAGTTCAGCTTACTTATGTATCAGTCTTCTAAGACAGAGTTGAGTGCTTTTCTTTGTGTTCCCATAGCACCATATATCTACATATATGCATCTTGAAATACCAACTTTGCTTAGTTTTCAGCTTACCAATGTCTGGTTTAGAATTAGGTAATCAAAATTGGTAAGAGTTGATCTCTTTACCTTCTCCCACCTTTCTTTCATGTTCTAGGTGATAAGTAGTGAGTTAAAGTTTTGCCTTTAAAATCAATCATTTCCTTCTCTAATTACTTGCAATGGGAAATTTTATAATTAGATAACAAGAAATTGTGTGAATTACAAAGAGCTGTTTACAGTCATATGGATGGGTGATACTATTTTTTGAGACCACTGTTGAAATGGTGGGTTTAAAACATGAAGGAAGTGTTACAAAGAGCTGTTTACAGTCATATGGATGGGTGATACTATTTTTTGAGACCACTGTTGAAATGGTGGGTTTAAAACATGAAGGAAGTGTTTAATCGGGATGCTAGATAGATGACTCTGTGGATGAGGCTATTAGAAAATGAATAGTGGTTTAATCATCTTTCATTTATACACTCATTAGCAAATACTAGCACTTACTAAATGCCAGGCACAGTAGTCAATACCAGTTGAAATTTTCATTCCAATTTAGTAGAATAGGGCCTAAAGTTTGTGAATTTTGGTTTTAGATTACTAGTGGTCTATTTTGGAATTTAAACTTGCCTATTACCTAACATACAAAATACTTTGTTGGGTTTTACATAAGCCTTACTGTTATTCATAATTAGATTAATTATAATCAACTTGAAAAATAATAGTATTGATAAAAATTGATTTCTTTTTTCTTTTATAGCAAAAGCCAGTGAATTCATTTTCCTTGAGTTAAACAGTTCCATTTCACAAAGAGAAGAATTGAAATTGAAAGATATTATGATGGAAATAAGTACGACCAGTGGAGAATTAGAACTCTCTTATCCATTGTCTTGGGTTCAGGCATTTCCTTTGTTTCAGAATCTCTCTTCAAAAGAAAGCTCTTTTATTCATTATTACTGTGCTTCAACTTGTTCTTTCCCTGTTGCTGCTGATACAGAAATGAAGATGAAATCAGTATCTCAGGTTAGCATATGATTAACATAATTGCCAGAGGGTAGAGAGGCAAAATTTGTTTCACTTAGATTGGGCTGATTTCAAAATACTGTCGTTTTCAAAAGGACACAGGAATCAACATGAAAGAACTCCCAGTGTCAAAGCTGGAAAGTTTATTCAACAAAATCAATAATGATAGGGTGAGATTATGACTGCATAAGTATCTTTGAGTCTATATTGATATAGTAATGAGGTAAATAAATGAATAAATTAACAAGTGATGGGTAGATAAAATTCTTACTTAGAATAGAACCTAGTTAGTAAATGTAAAAATAATAAAGGGAATATAAAAATCACAACTAAAACACTATTATGATCATTACAGGCAAGGTCCTTTAGTGAATTCTCAATTCAGTGGGTGAAAGCTTAAGGAGAATTAGGATATGTGCACAATCTTAGCCCTTTACCTGAAACTTTTACAAACCAGAAAGTAGTAACTTTGTAGTAGAGAAACCTGGCAGAGATACCATGTTACTCTAGTGGACAAAGTTAACACCACCAGCATTAAGGCACATTGACACGGCATTTCCCCTAATACCATAGAGAAGGGCAAATAAGTTCTGTAATATTCTTCTTAATAGTGTATGATCCAAATCTGATGACAAGTAAAAGGAGACAAACCTATTTATGAAGTAAATGACCAGTACTCTTTGACATACCAAGGTCATGAATGACAAAGAAAAGACTGAAGAATTGTAGCTTCATTTTAGTGGGAAAAGCAATGAAAGACCAAAGTGCTCAGCTAATTTTATATCATTGTTAATTTTTAAATTATGACAAATGTGTTATGCTTATATATGATAAGATTGGGAGAATATAGGCAAGGTTTTATTTTTTCTCAACATTCTGTAAGTATAAAGTTACCTGAAAACAATAGTAATTAAAAATTCTGTTTAGGGGGCCTTTAAAATGGCTTACCAGGTAAAGTGCTTACTGTGCAAGTCCCTGGGACTTACATAAAGTTGAAAGAAGAGAATTGACTCTACAAAGTTGTCTTCTGACTTCCATACACATGCTGTGGCACACTCATGCTCACACATACACATACACATATGCAAGTCCCATAGATAGCCACAGTAGTGTCAGATGAGACAGAAAACTTTATTACATTGTATATAAAAATGAATATCTTACTTTTCTATTTAGTGATAGAATGTCAATTATGTTATGAATTCAGCCTCTTTTAATTAAAAGATTTACTTTTTCTGTTATTTTCTACCTGCTTTGATTATTTGAAGTATAAAGTTTTAAATTAATTTTGGAACTGATCTGAAGTAGGACTTCAGGTTCAACATTACTATATTGTATGTGGAATCTTTTGATCAAAAGTAATTGTTTTCATTTGGTTGTATATGTATAGGAACTTTTAAAGTATGGTTGTAACTCACTGATAGAGATTTCCTTTTGTCACTTTCTTAGTTATAAATCTAAGTTTTATCTTTGAGTTTTTCAGAAATATTATTTATTTTTATTTGTTTATGAGTCTTGCCCTTGTTCTTTTCTTCTAGCCCTCAAATTCAGATACAATCAAGCCTACTTATACTTTCCTACAGAAACAAAGCAGTGGTTGCTACTCACTCTCTATCACTTCAAATCCAGATGAAGAATGGCGAGAAGTCAGGCACACGGGACCTGTTCAAAAGTATGTACTGAGTGATAGTCTTGTGCATATAGTAGTAGCCTTCATGAGTGCTGCTGCCTTTAAATAGTTTACTTATTGAAATGTTTTGAGTTTTACTTTAATACTAATGGATAATAATGGAAATAATATTGTTTATAAGGAACTTAAAAATTATGAAAAGAATAGGTATCATTTTATTAATTTTATGTCTGTATGACAAAAATTACTGCCAAAATGTCATTTGGTAAAATTAAAGTGCGTATTGAAAATACTGGAGTGGCAGTGTATGGTTTTGAAAACTGTATCTTCTATATCTGAATATATGATGGGAATATGAATTTGTTTACCAAAATATTCCTCAGTTTAGGTATGTTGGTATTTGAGTTCTCTGGAAGTTGCTTCTTTTTTATTTATTTATTTAAATATTTTATTTTTATTTTATGTATATGCGTGTATTGCCTGCATGTAGGTAAGTGCACCCTTGTCATGCAATGCCCATGGAGGATAGAATAGGCTGTCAGATCCCCTGGGACTGGAGTTAATGGGCCGTTGTTAGCTGCCATGTAGGTGCTGGGATTCGAATCCAGGTCTTCTGCAAAAACAACCAGTGTTGTTCTTAACCTCTGAGCCATCTCTCCAGCCCCAGTTGTTTCTTTTTAAAAAAATATTTTATCTATTATTTTTACATGCAATGCCCATGGAGGATAGAATAGGCTGTCAGATCCCCTGGGACTGGAGTTAATGGGCCGTTGTTAGCTGCCATGTAGGTGCTGGGATTCGAATCCAGGTCTTCTGCAAAAACAACCAGTGTTGTTCTTAACCTCTGAGCCATCTCTCCAGCCCCAGTTGTTTCTTTTTAAAAAAATATTTTATCTATTATTTTTATTTTATGTGCATAAGTATATTGTGTGCATGTATGTAAGTGCACCCATGGCATGCAGTGCCTGTGGAGTCAGAAGAGGGCATAGGATCCCCTAGAACTGGAATTACAAATGGTTGTTAGCTGCCATATGGGTGCTAGGAATTGAGTTCTCTGCAAGAACAGCTAGTGCTTTTAACCACTGAGCCATTGCTCCAGCCCTGGAAGTTGCTTCTTTGTTGATATTTTATCTTTTATATGTTGTTGATGAGGCACAATGTTTTGTACATTTGAGATTCCGTCTATATCTTCATGTAATTATTTTTTTCCTTTTAAGCAATTGAAAGCACAGAATAAGGCAAGTACTGATTACATAGAAACTATCAAATTAGCATTTAAAAATTTTTAGTTTTCTTATTTAAGTGCTTTGGTACCATCATTAAATCAACAGTGGACGATAATTTCACATTATTGGTGCAAAAAATATATATTATACCTTTATTAAACTGCTATATTTGCCCATCAAATATTGCCCCAATTAATCTAATATTGTAGCCTGGAATTCACTTCTGGGTTTCTTTTTAACCTTTAAGGGAGTACCTATAAGCTATCATTTGTCTTCTGCCACTTCTGGTTATTATCTATTTGCTTCCTTTATGTTCCGTTAAGTTTACACTGTACTTATGGGAAATACGTTCCCTAAGCTTCCTTGTTACTTCTTGTCTACCACCTAGTCCAGAAGGATAGTCCAGTTTAAAAAAAAATTTTTTTTGGTCTTTTTGAGACAGGGTCTCCCTATAGCCCCAGCTGGCCTGGAACTCACTATGTAGACCAGGCTGGACTTGAACTCACAGAGATCCACCTGCCTCTGCCTCCCAAGTGCTGTGACTAAAGGCTTGCACCATCCCGCCCGGCTTAAAAAAATTTTTTTTAAGTTGAGTTTTTTGTGTATTTCATACAGAACATCTCAAATAATCTTAATCATCTTTATACCGCCATCCCCACTAACACCCTTCCATACCCCCCCGCCAGCCCATATACTCCATCATCACTGTTAAAGCCCACTAGGTTGTCAGTGTCCCCAACTGTTCCCCAGTGCAAGTGTGTCCACTAAGTCTAGTCAGCCTATCTAGAGTCCCTTGTTTTAGGAAGATCAGCTCTTCTTTTATCTCCTACCCAAGGCTCAGGGACCATCGTGAAAGAGGGGGGAAAAAGATTGTATGAGTCAGGGAGGAGGTGCGTGACCATATGGAAACAAGAGTCCTAGAAGCTCCTGGGAACCTGCTCATATGATTCGATGGCAATGGTGTCAGCATACACAAGTCCCATGCAAACTCAGGCAGACAATAACCCAGCATAGAATTGGGAAAATGAACAGCAGACCTCAATCTTTTCTGAAGGAATGTTGGCAGTGGATAGTCCAGTTTTTGAGTGTTGGCTTTTCTGAATGGAAAATAATTGGTTTTAGATTCAAATTTACAGTTGGAAATTGGAGCATTAGAAAAATCTATGCTGTATTAAAATCGTTGTTGAAAGTTAAAAGTTGTGTAAAAGAGAGACTTCCTTAATGGTATTATAACCAATTGTAAGATAAGATTTTTTTGACTAGAAATATATTGAGACTAATATTAAGATTCTAGTCTCCCGGGACTATCCCACATGGGAGGATAATATTCACTGAATTTGCCATTAGTAGATTTGTGAAAATGTAGAAAATATAATTGGTTTTGTCTTACCAAATATTTTTACCCTACAGATGTTAGTTATAAAATACTACTGCCTAGTTGTTTCGTATCAGAAATTTCTTAGTTAGCTAGAATTTCAATATCATTATATTTTAATTTTATATTTACTTTTTAAAGGTTGATTGTATATCCTCCACCGCCTACTAAGGGGGGCTTAGGAGTAACTAATGAAGATCTGGAATGTTTAGAAGAAGGAGAATTTCTTAATGATGTAATCATTGATTTTTACCTTAAGTAAGTACACTAACGGTGATCTTATTTTTTTATTTTTATTTTTTGGTTGTATTTGGAATTGAACCTAGGGTCTTGTGCATATTAGGCAAATACTCTCATATTGAGTATAGCCCAGCCTTATCTCTAGTTAAACATGCCTTTAGTCCTAGCACTCAGGAGGCAGAGGCAGGTAGATCTCTTGGTATATAGCAAGTTCCAGGCCAGCTGGGCCTACAGGGAGACCCTGTCTCAAAAAACAAAACAAAACAACAAAAAAATAATCTGCCAAGATTTCAGACTTGGAAAACATTTTGGTTATCAAAATTTTACTGAAGTTGATTAATGGGGTTTCATTCTCTTACCTTCCATAGATATTGCACATTTCAGAAGATCTTTTTGATTTTGTGTGTGTGTGTGTGTGTGTGTGTGTGTGTAGTATGGGTACTTATTTTAACATTGTATTATTGTGATGAAGTATTGTAATGAAGGAAGTATTTACATTAATTACAAAGAACTCTGGGAACTGAAAAGAAGCAACCTTATTTAGTTATTTACTGTATCTTATGGATCTTTAAGCATCATAAAGTTAACTGTCATTTTAAAAAATCCATATGAAATCCATTAAAAAAAATTCAACCTCTTATATAGAAAAAGATGATGGATATGAAAACTCTTAAAACTTTCATGCAAAGTCAGGTATGGTGGTGCAGGTCTATAATCCTAGCACTCAGGTGACTGAGACAGGAGGATCAAGAGGATTGAGTTCAAGCCCAGTCCGAATTATATATTGAGCCTCAGTTTTAATAAATACAAACAAACGAACAAAAAATAATCCCCAAACAAGAACAACAAAAATCTCCAAAACATTTTCATATAAAGGAAATTTTTTTCTAGCCTTCATTTTGTATTTTATCTCTGGACTTAAATTTCCAATACTCAATTGAAAGATCTCCTAATTATTTAACAGATCTCTCTCAAGCCAAATTTGTTTTAATTTTATCTAGACTCTGCCATTTTTACTTATAATGATATTTTTATTCTAGTCACAAAGGCTAAAAATCTCAAATTACCACTTATATTTATAACATACTTATAGACATCATAGATTTGTAAGTCCCTAGAAATGTAGAAGAATTCCATGTCTCCTTTTTGAGCACATGGAAATTCAGTTCTAATAATGTTCTACGTTTTTTTTCTTGGTCTGTGTAAATTTTGGGTTGGCTTCAGTTGATTGATATTTCTTCTTGAGTCATGTTTTATAGCTTTACATATTTGATAATTGTCTATTGAAGGCTGAGTGTTTTTGAATTTCTATAATTATGGTTTAGTTTTGTTCTGGGACATAGTTAAATTATCTGGAAGTAGTTTTGTAGTTTCAAGTGTCTTGTTTTATTTAAGAGTTGCTAAATGGGACTAACAAATTCATTCCTCTTGGTAAGGAAAGAATTTTCTGAGTACTGTGGCCAATCTCTCATGAATTATGAGGTTGCACAATTTGACCAATAGGTACAGATATCATTCTTGGTCTGGGTAAATGCTAGGTACCATTTCTTCTTTTCATTTTGGGCAATTTTCCTCACAATATATGGTGATCAGTGCTCTACTAAATATGTGGGGAGGACTCTCCATAGCTGTCTGGAGTTCTCTCCACACTTTTTCCTTTCTAGTATTCTGATCTGAAGATTCCAGTTAACTTTCTAAAAGTGGTAACAAGGTCGGGACTTGGGAGATGGCTGAAGAAGGATTAAGAACACTGACTGTTCTTGCAGAAGACCCGGGTTCGAATCCCAGCACCCACATGGCAGCTAACAACTGTCAGTGGGCATTGCATGACATGGGTGTGCTTACCTACACGCAGGCAATACATGCATACACATAAAATAAAAATAATAAAATATTTTTAAAAAAGTGATTACAAGGTCATTTCTAAACTTGAATAAACTACTATGAATAGCATTTTTTTTTCCTTTTTTTGTATGTTTTTGAGACAGGGTCTCCCTGTAGCCCCAGCTGGCCTGGAAGTCACTATTAGACCAGGCCTTGAATCCACCTGCTGGGATTAAAGGCATGTACCATCACACCTGGCAGCAAAATTTCTTGATTATGAAAGGCTTAATCACTAAGTGATTGAGTTTTAAGGTTATGTTGAAGAATCATTTTAGTATGGAAGTAGAGCAAAGTAATTTAAGATTAGTAATATTGCTGTTACTAAATGTTTTGTAAATTTATGTATACCATAGACTTACATTTGTTCCCATGATTATTTGAATAGCACTTCTTTCTATTTTTAGTTCTTTGGATCAAGAGTTCCAAGGGGCAAATACTACTTTCCCAGCCCATTTTGTGTTTCTGGTGTAAATGTGGTGCTTGATACATGTTAGAAATTTGATATAATATTGCTAATTAAATAAGTGGCCAATTTCTACTTTAAATGATGTTTTTGAAAAATAAGATTACTGAAAGAGAAAGTACAAGTCCAAATCATAGAAAGTGAAAGATTGTTTTGAATTCAATTGGATAAAACAATAATTTCCAGTCATGTAAGGTATTTGGAGGAAACTAGGTAAAATCTAAAAACAATTTATTTTTGTGGGCTTGCTACTTTACAGGTACCTTCTGTTGGAGAAGGCATCAGATGAACTTGTTGAACGAAGTCATATTTTTAGTAGCTTTTTCTATAAATGCTTGACAAGAAAGGAAAATAATTTAACAGAAGATAATCCAGATCTCTCGTAAGTTAGTTTTTTAATGTTCTTAAATTTTGTTTTGTCTTTTGAAACAGGGTATTATTATGTAGCTCTGGCTGGCCTGGGACTTGCTATTGTAGACCAGGCTGGCCTTCAACTCACTCTGCCTCCTGAGTGCTGGGGATTAAAGATGTGCGGCTTCAGCCTCATATCCTTGAGGATCACAGGCGTGTACCTCTACCCTTTTTTTTTTTTTTTTTGTTTGTTTGTTTTTTCCTTTTTAAATTCATTACAGGTGTGTATGTGAGTGAATGTGCCACAGCATGCATGTAAATGTCAGAGTACAATTTGAGGGAGCCTGTTCTCTCCTTCTACCGTGTAGATCTGGGGAATTGAACTAAAGTCACCAGGCTTGGTAGCAGATGCCTTAACTCACTGTGCCATCTCTCTAGCCCTTAAGTTTTAAAAGAAAAAATACTGTTTTTGTGCTGTTAGTGAAGTGGCTTTATTGTAATATATCCTACAGTGAGCATATTAACACTTGTACAAGTCATTGGTTTGTGGGCTGTGAAAGCCATTTCTTTTTTCACCTTTCTCCCTGTAACAGGTGGCTGGCTCTTGCAGCCTACGTTTTCCAGTTGCATTGTCAGTGGGAGGTAGTACAAGTTGGAAAGCAAGGAACAAAGAAGCCAGGCTTTCTCTTCCCTACCCCTTTTGCCTTGGACCATCTCTTTATCAGTGGTTGTATTTCCTCTGTGCTTTGTCTCTCCCTGGGCAGACCTGCTAGACCTCTAAACTTCCATTTGGAGGGACTGTTGCTTCCTCCACCTAGGGGTATAGCAGTTTCCATCCTTAATTGCAACACCTCCCCTTCTTTGTACTTTTCCTTGCAGCCAATTCCTTGTATTATATTGTGTCGATATAGAACCATTTTTTATTTTTCTAGTTAGTTCTTTGATGACATTCTACTATTTCATTAAACTGGTATAACATAATATGAAATGCCATTCTTATTTGCACTTGATAAATTTCTGTATTCAGTGTTTTTCAAGTATTTTTTGATTAAGAATTAAACTGTGGAGCAGTGGATAGGACTAGGTAAAATTGAGGTAAATGTACCACTTTGTAATTTACAGAGTACATTTTGTGCTTCCATTTTCTCCTTAAATTATAGGGCTTTTAAATACATCAGACCACACTGGGCATCGTGGTGCCCATAGGAGGCAGAGGCAGGTGGATCTCTTCTAGTCGGCTAGGACTAGGGACACCCTGTCAAAAAAAGAAAAAAGATTAGCGGAGTGGCTTAGCTGATAAAAGTGCTTTTTGCCAAACTTTGTAACCTATGGTTTGATCACTGAGACCTACATGGTGGAAGGAGAAAACTGACCCTTTCAGATTGGCCTCTGACTTCCACAAGAGTATCATAGCATGTACACCATATGCACATGTACAACATGCACACACACACACACACACACACACACAAAATAAAACTTTGTATTGGCTTGTTTGTGGCTTGTTTCGGGCTTGGCTAGATGGCTCATTGGTTAAGAGCAGTGGCTGCTTTTGTAGAAGACCCAGGTTTGGTTACCAAGACCCACATGATGGCTAACATCTCTCTGTAACTCCAGTTCCATGGGAGCCTATGCCCTCTTCTGACCTCCACCAGCATTGCATGACATGGGTACACTTACATACATTCAGGCAATATATTCAATCACATGAAATAAAAACAATAAATAAAATATTAAAAAATGGCTTGTTTCATCCCATTGAAGGAATAATAAGATGGTTAAATGAATAAACTTCTTAAATTTGGTACATAATTTGAGGAAAGGGGTAGGAATATGGAGAGAGTGCTTATAGTTATTGAATGCTTGCTTTGACATAAAACAGTAGTTATTTAACTGTAATACATTGTAAGATAATATCATTTTTATTAATTGAGGCTGAAAGAAATTAGGTTAGTTATACAAAGTTGAATATAGCTTTCAGGTTTCAAAGTTCAATTATTTGTAGTGTTGTAATGTATAATTTATGTCTAAATTGGTGCATTTGTAAGAATAACAAGAGGTTTTTTTAATAGCATGCACTGAGCAACTAGTATATACTAAGCCTGTCTTAGACAAAATGATCATGGTCAGTTTTGAGTGTCTTTATTGGTTTGGGATTTGTAGCTATGGACAAAGCCTTCCAGAATCACTTAAAGAGAAAAATTTGAAAATATTTCTGATAGAGTTAGAAGACATACAGAAAAGAAAAAAAATGAATAGATAATTTTGTTATTTATAATTTCTGATGCTCTGCTGTTCTGTGTATACAGAAATTAATGATTGGGATCATGCAAGTGATTCCACATTTTAAGATTATCCAACTTATAGATGAGAAATTTGCCTTCAAAGTGAGGAGGTGAAAGTAGGTAGATTCTTCTGTATTACTAGGTTTTTAAAAACAGCTTATATGTGCCTGAGCATGCATAAAAATAATAAAAATAAAGTTACATGGTATACTTTAGTGTAGGAAGGATAAAATAACTCTCTCTGTGTGTCTCTCCTCTCACACACATATACTCTTAATTGTGCTAAGCCTGGTACATACACATGAGTGTGTGTGTCTTAAAACAATAATTAGTATTCACCAGGAGTGGTGGTGCATGCCTGTAATCCCAGCACCAGGGAGGCAGAGGCAGGCAGATTTCTGTGAGTTCAAGGCCAGCCTGGTCTACAAAGTGAGTTCCAGGTCACCTGGGCCTACAGAGAGACCCTGTCTCAAAAAGACCAAAAAACAAAACAAAATAAAACAACAACAACAAAAACCAATAATTAGTATTCACAAAAAGAATACCTACAAACCAGTTTTTAAAAGACATACTCTATTGGGGTTGGAGAGATGGCTTAGTGGTTAAGAGAACTGGCTGCTCTTGCAGAGGACATGGGTTTGATTCTTAGCATCCACATGGAGGCTACTATAATTCCAGTTCCAGGGAATCCAACGCCCTCTTCTGACCTCTGCAGGCATTGTACAACATGGGTGCACTTATACACATGCAGGGAAAACACTCATACACATAAAATAAAAATAAATAAATTAATTAAAAAAGACATAATTTAGAAACAATGCAGTAAGAGATGCATACCCAGTATAAATTCATGACAAAAGGCCCAAGCTACTAGTGTTAGCAAACTTCAGAATGTCATACACACTCTATTCTCATGCAAGATTTGGCCTAGTTCCATCTTTTTAGATTGATTTCATAACATTTTCTCATCTTGCCATCTCATCCTCATCTCATCTCATCTCATCTCATCTCATCTCATCTCATCTCATCATCTCATCTCAATCAGTCTACTTCCTTTCAGTTTTCAGATATGTTCAGCCCTTTCCTGTTTTTTGTCTGAAATTTCTTTTGGCACTGCTATTTCACAGCGAGACCTTTATAATAATGTTATTTATTTGCTTATTCTTTTTTCTGTTTCTCATCCCAAGCTTTCTGTGAGGCCAGAAACTTTCTCTTTTTTCTACTCTATCTACAGTGCTTTACCCAGTGTTTGAAACCATACAAACTCAAAGCAGAAGATGTTAATAATACCCATTGCTAAGTATAGGAAACTATTAGATATATAACTGAGAATTGTCTATACATTTTTTTTATGAACATAGAAAAAGAGATCATGTGTGGCCTTCAGTTTTTTTTCTGTGTGTGTATGTGTGTGTACACATGAATATGTGGAGGTTAGAGGACATCTTTCAGGAATCAATTCTCTCCTTACACCTTGGTTTCTGGGGCTTGAACTTAGGTCATCAGACTTGCAGATCAAGTGCTTTTACCCCCTGAGCCTTTTCGCCAGCCCCTATCACTCATAGTCTTTCTTTTTTCTTTTTCTTTTGGTCTTTTTTGAGACAGGGTTTCCCTGTAGCCCCAGCTGGCCTGGAATTCACTATGTAGATCAGGCCAGCCTTGAACTCACAGAGATCTGCCTGCCTCTGCCTCCTGAGTGCTGGTATTAAAGGCATGTGCCCACGACATCAACCTTCCTTTCATTCATAGTCTTTCTTATCATCCTTGCCTCATTCTGTGTTAAATGTATTCACAAATAAGTTTAGCATAATTATGAAGCCTACTAAATACCAGAATAACAAAACAAACTGTCCATCTTTAACATTCCCAAATAGAAAACAAACTCTTTATATACTAGTTGAAGGTAATTATTTCTGATTTGATAATTAATTGAGTTATTCTAAAGTGAGAAAATTTGCTGAACATGTGACTCCTGATTATTTTATTTAGAATACTTAATTGAGATTCATATGATGTCTAATCTCTGTCACATCTTTTTCAGATCATTCTGGAAAATTTCTTTCCCCTAATGTTTACCTCCTATGGTTAGATACTCTTCAGATGAGCAGAGTGGGACAAAGATACCTGTTTCCTATTTTACTTGATATTTTTTGTGTAGGGATTTAATGGTTTTTTTTTTCTTTAAATAAAGCCTTTGTTCTGAGGCACTGAGCCAGAAGTCAGATGCCTTCTCTTTTTTTGTGATTATTAAAGTGTTCAGTTTTTCCTAAATTGTTTTTTGACATCCAAAATTGGTTCACTATAATTTCCTGTAGGTTATAAAAACAAAGCAAAAAAAAAAACAAAACAAAAACAAAAACCAAAAAAACCCTGTGGACTGGAAAAGCAAATGGTCCTGAAAGTGAAAGTTCTGTTTTTATTTTACTGAATGCAATAATAGATAGCATACTTTGAGAACTAACTACATGCCAGGATCTATGCCAGCCACTTTCCATATATCATCATTTTTTTCTTCAACAGTGGAATCAAATAGATTCCATTATTAAATTATTATAGGAAATCTCAGATTTAGCAAGATTATGCAGTTGCCTCAAGCTATGCAGCCACGAGGACTGAAGCTAGACTTTGAATCCAGGCTTGCTTGAATTGAAATTTTGATGTTACTTACAGACTTCTTTTCTGCAAAATGTATAGTAAATACACTGCTAAAGTCATGAATATATTTCAAGATGTAATTTCTAAGAACTGGGTAAAGGTAGAGACAGGGACTATGAAATGACTCCTAGCACAAATAAAAACCCTGTGTGTGTGTGTGTGTGTGTGTGTGTGTGTGTGTGTGTGTGTGTGTTTTCTAGGTACTTTAGTATAATTCCTTTGCATCCTTTCTGGCATCACATTTCAGTTGTATTTTGTTTGTTTTCTTTTGCCTTTTTTAGATTATAAATTCTTTTAGGACAGTGCAGATTATTTTCACTATTTAATTTTGGGAATCTGGTATCTTCTGGAGAACTGAAAAGAAAATGGACGAGCAGTGGGTGCCTGAACCTTGTTCTGCCATTTCCTTATGTTTGAAATGAAGGGAGATGAGTTTCATGTTAAATTAAAGACAAAAAGCCTCATTTCTTCTCTTCCATTAAGTTTTAACATATATCAATCTCATCACAGAACAGTTGGATAATTCTGTTAAGGTTTAATTATACTTTAGACATTGTCCCCAAGTGAAGCAAAACAGAACAAGTAATTTAGATGTGTTTATGTTCAGTTGCTCAGCCACTTTGGAATCCACAAAGCATTTAATAAATTAATAAATTTCCCTTTTCTGTTTATTTCAAAGTTGTTTATATAATCAAATTGAAGAAAGATCAAATTATTTCTAGTATGTTAACTTACATATTTTAACATAGTATGTTAAAATCTTACATATCCAGTATATAAAAGTGGCTCTTGAATTCCATACCCTAAGTTTAAAATTTTTTGTAAACCAAACACTGTGTCTTTCATATTCCTAGACTAGCCCAGAGGAGACATAAAAGAGTAAGAACTTGGACTCGTCACATAAACATTTTTAATAAAGATTACATCTTTGTACCTGTGAATGAATCGTGAGTATTTTTGATTATTCAAAAACCAGTTAGAGAAAAGAAAAAATACTTGTGTTTAGACTAGTAATCAGTAAGAAGTAGAGGCCACAGATTTTATTTTTAATTTTTTCCTATGAAAATTTCTACAACAATCTTCTTTTTTATTTTTGCTTGCTTATGATTATGTTGTAAACCAGTAGAAAAATAAAATGACAAATAGCTCCAATGTTGTAAAACCAAAGCATTTAATTTTTTTAAGGAAAGACTTTGTAAATAAAAAATGGAAAGAGATCAGGCCACTGGAGGCTTGCTCATGTGAGCCTGTGCCAGCGGTAGCATTGAGCATGGGACCCATGTCAGCTCAATTAAACAAGGGTCCAAATGGGAGGTGATAAATAGGTGGTGGGCCAGCACTAGACTGAGAACTATTTGAGACTGATTTCTGCTGGGTGAGGAAAGAGTATGATTTATATAAGACCACTGGATGGGCTGACTAGATTCCAGTGATTGCATTTACCCTGAAGGATATTTGGGTACAAACACTTGAATGAAGAGGACTCAGCATGTATCGCAGAGTGCATAGGGTTTGGTGGGGGTATAGGGGGAGGCATGTTTGGTGGAGGGGGTCTGAAATTTAAAAAGCTCAATAAAAAAAGAAAAGAGAATAAACTCTTTAAATATTAATACAAAAGGGATACTATGAGTCTATTATTAATGTAGACTGAAAATATCAAATGTATACAGGTAAATAAAGTTAGGATTACTCAGAGTTTTTGCCCTGTGGTTTTATTTATGGCCTTTGCAATTGTGGCTGTTTAGTTTAGAATATGTGCCCCATCTTATATAAGGTGGTATACTGGATGCCTTCAAAATTAATATGTTTATCATATCCTCTGTCATAGATTTAGCTGTAGAATATTCTTCTACATTGTTTAGATTTGGCATGTTATTAAGAATATAGTTCTTTTTCAACAGGTCTCACTGGTATCTTGCAGTCATTTGTTTTCCATGGTTAGAAGAAGCTGTGTATGAAGATTTTCCACAAACCATATCCCAACAGTTCCATGATCAGCAAGCTCAACAGAACAACAAAACAATAGGTGACACTGTTAATACAGTGTTTTTAATAATAATCACAATAATAGGCAAATTAAGGGAAACAATATGAAGTTAATAGTCTATTATCAAATTTATTTGAAGGAATACAAAAAATTTGACATTTTTGAATACTCAGTATTGCATATACCAACTGTAATTCTGAAGTCATACTGTTGATACCGTTTTATAATAGCACTTTTAAAGAATAGCTTTATTAATATGGAATTCATGGCATAGATTTTCAGGCACAGCCTAAAATCTTTAATGTACAATGTATACTTGTATACTAGTAATTCAGAGACTATGTAGGATCTCATTTCTTCCATGATTTTTCTTGTAACACTGTATACTCTGGTTTTTACTCAGATCCTAACACTGTATTTTAATTACAGTGGTTTATAGTCATAAACTAAAGTAGCAAGGAAAACTGGTAGCAGCCTTTCCCATGAATACTGTCCAGAACCTGAGGGGGTGGGGGATGGGGTGAAGAAAAACTGGAGCATCTGATTATTTTTCATTTTCTCTTACCCTTTTGAGCTTCAGAAGTATACTTATGCAAAACCTGCTGGTCAGATTTAGAAGAACCATTACTAGACAAGTTAGCTACCCTCCACTTAAAAATAAGACATTTTAATTAAGGAGCTATATTTGAAGATTGTCTCTTTGTAGGAAATTGGCCCAGCTGATTTGTATTTCAGGTTTGGGCTCTAGGGTTTCCGCATTATTTTGTAAGGCCAACTATTATCAGTTTTATCCATTGACTGAGTTTTCTCATAATACGGACGATAATTTTTTTTCTTTAATTAGTGGATACAAATTCAAGTTTAGCTTAATCTAAATTGTCTGTATGAACATACAATAAAGACTCATAGTAACTTATTTCTTATTAGATAATGATCTACATAGCACTTCAACACTGTCCTTGAATACAGAGGATTCCCAAGTAAGTGTGTTCTGTTCAGATGTGAAGAAAGAACATTCACAATAATGCTAACTATAAAATAGGGCCTAAGTGAATTGAGATGGGTATTAGTGGCACATAATTAAATTATTCTGCTTTTTAATTCTTTCAACAATTTTTGAAAAGAGAACAATAAGTTATTCTTGGTCAGTTTAGTTGCTTCAACTTCCTTTCTTAGAGATTCATTGTGTACATTAGAAAAGTACTAATGAGATAGGTCCTCATTAAAGAAATCTGATCTATTTCTTAAATTTATGAACAAAACCAGTGTCAACAAAACTATAATTGTTAGCCCTTTTCCTCGTATTATAGATTAATGCTTTGATTGCTTCTCAACCTTTGGGCTAAGATCAAGTGCAGATTAGTCCTTTACTTCTTGTGTTTCAAAGGGAAGAAATGTATGTCATAGGCCTTGATTGAGTTACAAAATGTTTATAGAGATAAGTTATCTTGTTTATCTTTGTTTAAGATGATAAATGAATAAAAGTAAATTTCTAGGCTGTTTTCTAGATCAGGTTAAAGCAGAACTACTTGAGGCCAATGTGAAAGTATATAAACTACTGTTTTGTTAGTATTAAGAAAATAAATCAATGAATTTTTAAAAAATGGAGTTAGCTTGATTTATTTTCAAGTAAACGCTTAAGAATTCCTACTTGAAAGTTTAATTTCAAAGTATTTGAAACATTTTAAGAAATAAATAATGTATTTAAACTAGCTTAAATTGCAAAGAAATTCATGTTATTTCAGAGTACCGAGATGAATGTGTCAGTACCAAAGAAAATGTGTAAAAGGTAAGTATATGCTATAATAATAGTATTGGTTTTTACAATTGCAGTTATTTATTGTGTATATGTATATGTACACATGTGTGTGCATGGCATGTGTGTGGAGGTTAGAGGACAACTTGCAGGAATGGGTTCTCTCCTTCTACCATGTAAATTGCCAGGGATGAATTCAGGTTGTCAGATTTGGCAGCAAGCATCTTTACATACTGAGCCGTTATTAATTAACTAATTAATTAATTAATTTAGTATGTGTGTTTGTGTGTGTTTAGTTTTTTGTTTGGAGTTTTTTGGTATGTGTTGGAGTGTGCATCTTTTTATATGTTTTTACATCTTGATTTCTTCCCTTGTTTTTCATAGGCCGTGTATTCTCATACTAGACTCCTTGAAAGCTGCTTCTATACAAAACACAGTTCAGAATTTACGAGAGTAAGTAATGGCATTCTTTTCATGCAGTCTGTTATCTAAAATCTCAGTGCTTTTGAACATACCTTACTGAAAGCACTCCTGGGGTTTTGGGGTAGAGTCGTATCACAGGCATGCAATCCCAAACTCAGAGGCAGAGTAGCAGCCTGATAGGTAAGGGGATTATGAATTAAAGGCCAGTTTGGTCTACCTTGTGAGTTTGAGCCCAATCTGGACTATAATAGTGAGACTCTGGCTTAAAAAAAAAAAGACTGAAAACATTATATTAGGAATTATATATATATATATATTTAAAATATTTTATTATTTTTAATTTTATGTGTATGAGTGCATTGCCTGCATGTATGTGAGTGCCCTTGTGTTGGGCAATGCCCACGGAAGAGGGCATTGAATCCTCTGGAGTGTGATGAATAATTGTTAGCTACCATGTGGGTGCTGGGAATGAAACCTGGGTCCTCTGGAAGAGCAGCCAGTGCTCTAACTGCTGAGCCATCTCTCCAGGCCTAGGAATAATATTTTTAACATGTATTTAAATGAAGCCTGAAAAATCTAATTAATAATTAATATCCTCTATTATGTATTAATAGTCAAGCATTTAGATTTTTTAAAAAAATTTTAATTGAGTTTTGGTAATTTCATACAACAGCTCTTAATCAAATTTAGAACCCCCCCCCACCAGACTTCATGTATTCCACCATACATGTTAAGTCCAATCCAGTCAAGCGTTTGTGCCCAGATGTCCCTTAGCGTAAATTTGTCCACCAGAGTCTAGTCAGCCCGTCTGGAGATCGTATGTGAGGCATACTCTGCCTCTCCCAGTAGCTGTCAGTCTCTAACAGCTCCCAGTCTAAGGCCGGCCTACCAGCCATTTCTCTCCTCCTCTCTGGGCTCTGGTTTAATTGAGTTGACATGGGTCCTGTGCTCAGTGCCACCATTGCCACAAGGTCACATGTGCAAACTTCCAGTGGCCTGAAAGCCTCTGCTTTCCTGTGTTCATGAACCAGCCCTGACTCTTACAGTCTTTCTGTCCCCACTTCTGCAATGGTCCCTGAGCCAAGGGTGAGTGAGGTTCAATATAGGGGTCTTATCCAGGGACATACACTTTGCTGTCTCCTTGACAAGTGTGGGAAGGAGTGTGACTATAGCTTGCTGGCAAGGCATTTAGAGTTTTACAAGTATTACATCAAAGATAAATTTAAAATTTGTATTTATAATTGAACAAAACCATATTTTATACAGGAGCATTGCAAATATTGGTGATTATCAAAAATACCACTTTAAAAAAAAGAATTGTTAAATTGCTATCATTGTGTGTGTGTGTGTATATATATATATGTATGCATGAGAGTTTTTACAGATTTTAAAATATTTGTGTACATATGTGAATGTATGTATGTATATATGTATGGACACTCATGTCCTCTGGCCTATGAGTGTGAGGTCAGAGGACAACTTGTAGAGTTGGTATTCTCCTTCTACCATGTCGGTCCTGGCTATTAGGTGTGGCAGCATGGGCCTTTGCCAGAAAGCTCCCTTACTAGCCAGCCTGAGACAGAAATTTTGTAATTTACTATAGGAACTGAAAAAGCCAACAATGAAGCTTCAAAAGCCATCTGTTAGTTTAGTTCCTAATATAAATAACTTTATATATTTGACTTGTGAAAGTTAAGTTGTTGAACAACTGTAGCTTCTAATTGAAAATGACATTGTTTTTTTCAAAGTAGCACTGGTGAAGGCTGACAGAATATAGTATACATCATTAAAGTTCTGTCTTTGGAAATTTAATTTGAGGGAAAACATCCTGAGGGAAATTTTTTTCTTTTTTGTGAAAGTGTTGTGTAATGATAGAGATTTCTTAAGGTGCTGTTTTTATTATTTCAGGTATTTAGAGGTAGAGTGGGAAGTGAAGCGAAAAACTCATCGTGAATTCAGCAAAACAAACATGGTAGACCTATGCCCTAAAGTCCCTAAACAGGACAATAGCAGTGATTGTGGAGTGTATTTATTGCAATATGTGGAAAGCTTCTTCAAGGTATGTGAAGATACACATTTTTATTCACAGTTATCAGCATATAGTTACAAATTCCAGGCCAAGCAAACAGGGAGGAAAATGTTTAGTCAAGGGATTAAAAAAACAAAACAAAACAAAAAAAACCACACAAACAAAAGTAAAGAAAATATAAATGTAAATGAAAAGGGACCACTGGTCTACATAGTGAGTTCCAGGACAGCTGGGGCTTCCAGGGAGACCCTGCTTCAAAAAAGACAAAAAAAAAAAAGTTTAAAATTATTTATTATGTTAGATAAAATAAAGCCGTACATGGTCAAAAATGGATGAAGACATAAAATTAAAAAGACAATCTAAAAACAAAAACAAAAATCAAATGAATGGACATTCTGGAGTTGAAAGTATGTAATAATTTGTTTATTAAGAACTTATTTGAAGCCAGATGTGGTGATACATATGTGTAATCACATGCCAGTTGTGAGGCTGAGATAGGGGAATGAGGAAACAGAAACTTTCACTTAAAAAGATAAAATTGGGGCTGGAGAGGTGGCTCAGCAGTTGAGTACTGACTCCTCTTGCAGGAACTTGGGTTTAGGTCTCAGCACCCACATGGTGGCTAAGAGCTGTCTATAGCTCCAGTGCCAGGGGATTCAATGCCCTTTTCTGGCCCCTTGGGCATTGCGCTTGGGTGCACTTACATACATGCAAAGTATTAATCATCATTTGGTAGGCTACAGGGGTATCCAGCTGCCCATATGTTGGGTTGCATTCCCAGATATCCTGGGACTCATGAGACCCTGGACTGCAGGTTGATTGGGCACACCTGGTAGCACACTAGCCAGAGCAGAAATTAGAATGAGTGAACTTAAAGAGTAGAAAGGATCCAAGGGTAGCTCACAGAGAAAATGAATGTGAAGAAGAGAACAAAGCCTAAGAGACAAGTGTAATGGGAGAAAGGTCTCATTTTCATGTAATTGGAGTCCCAGAAGAGAACCAGTAGGGCAGATAAAACATTTAAAAATGATTTCCTGGAATGCAAAAGTCCTATTTATTTAAGAAGCTCAGAACATCATAGCTGCGGAAATAGAATTACAAATTTGGCTTTTGTTCTAATTCACAGAGACTTTATATGAACTTACTAGTATTAAAGACAAAATCTTAAATGGTAGAGAATCACTGTTTGTTGTTTTAGCATCAACTGATTTAGCTCAGGAGTTTTCAGCATCACTTATGAAGATGTATTTTTGACCAGCAGTCTGTTTAAGAGAATGCTTTTAAGGTGCTTTCAAAGCTTATAGCGTATAGCTTTCTAAGCTTTGTGGCTTATGGACTTAAGACTTTTTTGAGTCTTTAATATTGGGGAATGGTATTGTATAGTAAAATATGTTGCATATTATAGAAACCATTATATATTTGTCATGTTGTATTTAGCCTTCCCTCCCCCTTTATTCAACATTGGACTTCATCATAGGGTGACATTTCTTCTCCTCTAATACTCTTTCCAAGTAGATTTCAACTTGGGGTTTAGAATAATATGGGCCTTGCTAGTGACATATTCTGACTTTTGTTTTTTAAACATAATTCTACTTTAATGTACTTTCAGTCAATAGAATAAACAGTAAATATAGAATGAACCACCATGTAAAATTCCTGGGTGAACAAAACTAAAAAACTAAACTCGTGTTTTTCAGATTTGTGTAATAATGTAACATTGCAGAGGTTAAAAAATAGGCTTAAGCAATTCATAAACAATGTCTGTGTGTGACCAGTCATAGTATTTGGTAATAGTCTCTGACTGGTACAAAATGAGCTTCTTTGATGAGGGGTGACTGGGATATTTTTTTGTAAATATAAGGATACATATTTTGCACATAGTAAGGAATCACATTAGTGATGTGATGGTCTTGGGGTTTTCTCTAAGATCTATGACCATCCCAGCCATGAATATTTGGTTATGTTTACAGTACTACATATGAGTTTCCTCCCATTGAGTGGGCTTTTAGTCCAATTAGGTAGCTGTTGATTGCCCCCAAGATAAAAGTGCCACTACAGCACCAATGTCCTATGCTGTGCTGGCCTTTGATGTGGTTATTTGGTCTTGAAGCTGGTGTTGGACCATCGATTGATGTTTTCCCTTAGCACCTTCATAGTGCTCTCCGAAGCTATGAGAGCTAGCCTTCCGGGGAAGTGGTTTCAGGTCAGCTGCAGCTCTATTTTTCCAAATTCTGTATCCAAAGTATGTTCTGTCTTCAGCAGTAGGGTCTTACCTTCAAGTTCTGGGAGGCTATCAAGGGCTGTGGCAGTAGCTTGAATAATTTTGGGAGTCTCTTGGACCACCCTGACCAACAACTCAAAGGAAGGTTTCTCCTGTCTGGCACTGTTTCTTGTTGTATAGCCTTTAGCTATACACATGGACTCATGTAGAGATAATGTTTGTCTAATTTGTCATTAGGTTGTTGAACTGATATGATTCCCTCCATTTTTTAAAAATTACCTAGGCATTATTTATCTCTCCTCTCTCTCTCTCACTGTCTAACCCTTCCGCCATGGTCTCCCCATTTAAAGTACCCCCATTTCCCCCATTTCTCCCTTGATAATACCCTTCTCCTATGGTCCCACCTCTCCTGAGCTCCTTCTTTCTTTTTATCCCCAAGGTTCTTTGTATAACCCTCCCTCCACCCTCTCATTTAAATACCCCCAGTTTTACTCATTTCTCCTTTAGTAACACCTGTCTCCTACTGTTCTTTTCTCTCAGGTTCTTTCTTTCCCTTTACCTTCCTGGCTCCTTTTCATTATTCTGGTTCCTGCAGTTATGTCTGGATACCTACTCACTTATAAGGATTTGGTGCTAGGATCCACATATGAGGGAGAACATACATCTTTTGTTTTTCTGAGTCTGTGTTACTTTACTTAGTTTAACAGTTTCTAGTTCCATCCATTTACCTGCAAATTTCATGATTTCATCTTTCTTTACCACTGAGTAGAACTCCTTTGTGTAAATGAACCACATTTTCATTATTTACTTGTCAGCTGAGGGGCACTTAGGTTATAAATTGCCCAGGCCTAAGTGACACATCTACAGTGCAACCACTACATCTAAGGCTCATGGAACACAGAACAGGGGTAAAGACGAGAACACTAATGAATCTCTCAGTTCTCATTAATGAAGCTCCCTCATGCGGCAGAGGGCCAGGAACACAAAAGGTCACAAATGGCCAAAGTGCAGAGATCAAGATTCTGATGAATGCTGATCCTTGGACAGGTCTCCTTTATTAAACTTCACATACCCAAGGCTCAGGGAGAACTCCTTTGTGTATATGTACCGCATTTTCATTATTTACTTGTGGGACTCTAGATAGGCTGACTAGACCTCATTTACTGGACTTGCACTGAGGAATATCTGGGACACTGACTTGACACAGTGGGCTTTAACAGGGATGACAGAGTATATGGGCTTCTGTGGGGGTGCTATGGGAGGGTGCCAGTGGGGACAGGGGCGTATAAAGATGATTAAGAATGTTTGAAATGTTCTGTATGAAATACACAAAAATTCAACAAAAACGAATTAAAAAACAAATAATTCTCACTTAAAAAAATAGGCTTGGGGAAGTCTGCTTCCAACTGGTGGGTGTTTGTAACTTAACACTACTGAAAACAATACAATATTCTAGTAAAAATACATCACCATGTAGGCATTGGCTTCTAGAGATACAGTGAGTTCATCCTGTGATTATAGAGTCAGTCCATCCTTTTAGCTTTTCTTCTCTAAGATATAAGTCCTTATGTTTGACTTCTAATATTTTATCAAATTTATAAACATAGTATATGGGTAATCTTCAGCAGTAAAAAACTCAAACAGAAGAAGTATCTTTGCAGTTGCAACTTATAATTTTCCTATTAAGTTTTAACATAATGAAAAAATTTTGCTATTCTTAAATTTGTTTTCTACCCTAAAAGATGACTCAATCCTAGCACTCAGGGGGCAGAGTCAGGGGCAGGGGCAGGGGTAGGAGATCTCTGTGAGATTGCAGCTGATCTACATAGCAAGTTCTAGCCCAGCTGGAAAAAAATATGATGACTCTTTAGCAGGATTTCCTAGTTTTTAAAATTTGAGATTCTTGGGGCTGAAGAGATGGCTCAGCAGTTAAGAACACTACTGGCTGTACTTTTTTTTTTTTTTTAACATCTTTTAAAAACGATTTATTTCAGCAACATATAACAACAGAACAGAACACTTTGTAGGTCTCTTCACACAACAAAATAGGCAATAATAACATATGTAGTTTGCTGGAATAAATACCCAGTTATACTAATTACAGTCACTCACATGGTTCCAGCAGTTATGAACAGAACTGTACCCATTAAGAAATAGACCGAACAGCGTTTTTTTTTCTTTAGTAATAACTTTAATTCTATTGTCCCATCATATTGTGACTGAAAATACATTTGATTGAGTTTAACATTTCTTTGATGGTTTCACACACATACATATACATGCACTGTGACTGTGTCTCCCTCCTTGCCCTCTCTTACCCCCCATGCCTACTGACGCCCTTCCTCCTCCTCTTCCTCCTCCTCCTCCTCCTCTTCCTCTTCCTCCTCCTCCTCCTCCTCCTCCTCTCTCCTTCTCCTCCTCCTGTTCCTCTTCTTCTTTAAAGGCAAGAGTAATTAGCATTACAAGTTCTAGACAGGGAACTAGAAAAAAGTCAGAACAGGGCAAATTTCAAAGGTTCATATGAGAGTCCATTGGAATTTTTTGACAAGGGCTTCTAAAAGCATCCCTCTATTGGGTTCCTCATCATTTTTCTTTTGTCTGCCAAGGCTGGACTTGAGAGTGATGGATTCAGGATTTGCTTTCAGGTATTTTGATAGCTGTTGGAGTGGTTAGAATCAGTGTCAGTTCCCTCTCAAAGTCTTGGAGATAACTGAGGTGTATGTATGACCTGAGGGTATGCACACTTGAAAGCCTTTACTCAGCATGGGTCATGCTTTCTCTTCCTTGCCTTTCCGAGATTGTATACTTT